GGCAATAATAATGATTTTTTTTTGTTTAGTATATATAGAAATTGAACTTATTTGAATATGAATAGGTCTTAGCTTGTTGAATGGAATATAATTTGACATTTATTACATATAAATATAAAAGAGTTGATCAAACGGAGCTGTTAACCTGATTAAAAACAAAGCTATACAAAAATCAAAAATACTCACTATATTTTATATTGTGAACTCCAAATTGTAAAGACATTTACGAATATAAGATGGATTATTTTTTAATATTTTTGCAACATTGTGATTTTTTTTTCTATTTAGTAACAGAAGTCACTTAGTTTATAATGCTTATTATTTAGTACATACCCCATTATGTATGCCAGCATTGGGTGGAATAAATCCCTGTGCATTCACCGCGACCATCCACAGGCACAAAGTGCCCAAAAGTGCCAATAAATTTCGCATGATTCAATCAAATTTGATAGATTAATAATATAGTATATTTTTCGGTTATTTTTGCAGTTAAGTTGGAAACTTGGTTATTTCTTATCGATTTATTATCGCTGCACTTTTTTTTTTTCCCAAAAAGGAAACACGATAACGTTGGTTTCGACTGTTAAAATTGCTACAAAACACAAAACTGAAATCAACTTTTGCTTTGGCGGGTTTTTGAATTTAACGTTTTCTATTTGCCTTATGCAAATGTAGTTAGTTTTTTTTTGTTGTTTAACTTTTTTACTCTTTGTTTTATTTAGTATGCCGCAAGCGTTGGCTGTGGCTGCCGCGGAATCGAGTGGAAGCCGCAGACACGACTTGTCTGGTAAAAGTTCGATGCTTAACTGAAGATCATTAAGCGTTTGGTAACAATTTAAGCCAAGCCAAGCGACGAAGATGCCAAAAAAATGCGAAGCTAGCTACGCGACGTGATGCGACGACGATGAGCGCAGCAACATGTTGCTGGCAACATGAGCAGCAGCAACATTTGTTGAGAGCGTTCGTTTGCACAGAGAAAGCATTAAAGAGCGCTTCGGCTGTTGAAAGAGAAAGTGTTGCTTGCCTTCAACTGTGCAACATGAGGAAATGTAATGCTCTAAGTCAAGCTTTTTCCACCAAATGCAATTCGCTCTTCGTGTCTCAGTCTTTATCAAACCAGAAATAGATGGGGCTAGACAAATATGATGCCATCTGCAGCGATTTCGATTTCATACTCAGAAATCACGTAATTTCCTCAACTTGGCGTACTCGGAAATGCAGATAAGAACGCAAATTGAAGGCGTACGAATCGCATTGGGTCTAAAACGATAAATATCTTTTAATGGCGCCCAAAAATAAATGCAGACATCAACATTACCATTTACAGACCTGTGTCACATAGCCTCTACAACAATTATGCCAACAAAAACAACAATAACATTCCGTACTCAACTCATTAAAACTGCATTCCATGCACACCGCGATGTGTCTTTTATGTTTTTCTTATTTTTTTTAACAATTTGTCTGGCTCATTTAAAGTGATTCATTTTTTATCTCTCGTACTACCTTAATTATCAAAGTAGATGATTAATGTGTGCTACCCGTTGTCTGTCCGCTTCGTATTGGGAAGTAGCTGCGATCCCGCAGTGTTCGATTGTATGTGGCGCTCTACTAATCAACATATTACGCACTTACATCACACCCCAAAATCGATGAATAATAGCTACAGGTTGATTTGGTCTAGTTTTTCATAAAGAGAAGGCACAGCATGACTTGATCAAGTGATCGGAAATAATTGATGTTTCGTATTGATGAGGCTTGGCGAGAGATTAAAGCGGATGATTTATTTATAATGTCAGGTTATATGTATCAAGGTTGCGGAAGTAACAATATCTTGAGAGAAAGTCAAGTCCACAGGATTGCAAGAAACGGTCTCAAAAAAATCCCAATAGAAATATAAATACTTAAAAATCGATGAAACCTCGAAGCTTTTGTATATTTCTAATAAGGATATACACAGTCAAGTCTCGATAATTCGAAATGGCAAGGGGATCACATTTTTAACGATTTACAAAAAGAAAAATTCAAATAAACGGGGCTTTAATATTTCACATAATGCTTACATATTTAACTTTATTGGAATTTAACAAAAAATATAAGTTCATTCGTTTGAATGTTTTGAAAATTAAAGAAATATCAATTTAAAATTAAACTTAAAAAAGCCTGTAATTTTCGATTGATGTGTGTTTTTTCTATTAATTGTTCTATCTCGTTCTCTAAACTTATATTTTTGTCAAAGAGACTATCATGAACATCATGTGTTAAAACATAGTTATAATTGAGGAATTAGCGATCTGGCTTGTATGTTAAAATTTCATCTCAAAATTCGACAAACAAGGGACCAAATTGTATGGAATTTTTACCAATAAATGACTGCTTTTCAAAAGGATAGCATTTTTACGAACTGTTGAGGTTTTCGATTAAGCGAGGGACGAATTATCGGGATTCTGTTTTAACTATTTTTGCCAGTATTAAGCTTGTACTTTATTTATTGCCTGCTCTGGGAAGAACTTTTGTAGATATTTTAATAGTATCAAGGAGAAATCGTTCGCCCTTTCGACAAGATTTTCCGTTCCCTACAGCGGTCGCTTTTCCATTTGAATAGATATTTTTACAAATATTTTACAGTTGATCGTCGATCTAAAGTTAATTACACAATTGATTTTCTCTTGTGCAACTCTGAACAAGCCAGTTAGCTGCCAATCTGGGGCCCTTATCAAAACGCAACCAAATTATGGCATTTTCAGCTTTCCAGCAATTATAGCAGCAATTTGCTGCTGGGACCCACAAAAAATTCGGCAACGCGACTAATCTCCAAAGCAGACACAAACACTTCAACGCCAGCTTTCATTGATGAACATTTTCACTTTCAAACCAAACACAAGCATAAAATATTCAAGCGAATGGCCTATTAAGTCGATGCCCAATGCAATTCTAGAGAAGGTTCAAGCTGGAGACCACCACCTCCCCGACCTGAGCCTCCAAATCCGCCTCGCGCGCCGCATTACATAAGCGGTCCGGCCAAGCGGCTTATCAGGTTTCCTCTGGCGCTGACAGACCCAGACCCTATAGACAGACAATGATAATGGCTTTCTGCTGATTTGACTGATTCGGTGGCTGTCGATGATGCCGCACGTTGTTCCGAGTCCAATGACTTTAGACGTTGCTTCTTTTGTATCCGTTCGATGCTTAAATTTTATTTGATAGCTTTCTTTGTTCAGCGATCGCTTGGCAAGAAAAGCGTCGATGACTCTAAAATCTATGTGGAAAATACAAACAAAAAAAACGCATTTTCACCTGCTTGTTTGAGCGTTGATTAAATTACTGGACATTGACAGGAAATTAAAAAAAATAATTCGATTTAATCTAAGAAGTTTTTCAACATTTGTTTCACGTGCTTCTTATGTAGCTTGAATATATCTTGTGATTGTTTGTTTATATTGTTAGCTATTAATTGATTTTTGACACAATAGAAATGAAGAGTAACGTGTATTGGTGGCAACTCTGGCTATGTGCAACAATATATTTCATTTACAAGCAACATTGGCAACCGTTGGAGCGATCAGTTTTGTCTTTTAGTATTTTTATACTCGGTTCAGAATGTTTAAGAGCGTATATTTTTTTCTTGCCCATCTTGGTTAATATACTACGACCTCCTCTCAAGAGCCAAAAAAATATTGCACCGCCTACTCCCGATTCACTTTGATATTTTATTCATTGAACCTCAAAACCACCTTCTACACAATTTATGTAAGCCTGGGGTTGAGCTCGTTACGTATATATTTTTTGTCATATATATATCTATGCCTGCTTTCCATCAAGTCCAAAATTGCCATATTGACCTCTCTGCGACGTGACAGTTGAGCATAACATGGTTGCCATAAAATATAATACACCTTTTTTTTGGCGAACTCCACCTTTAAATGCGTCATAAGCTGTGCTCTAGCTGCAGATAAAAACGAGATGATATAATACTATATGTTTTCGTACTTGAGATAAACCTAACCAAGCTGAGTTTCTTCTCAAGTGTGGGAAAATGTTGAAGGCGGCCAATTTAGAATAACTTAATTTTTGGCATAGGCCAACAACTGCCAGAGGCCTTAAAGATGATCGAGCTGGCGTATGCCTAATAGCAGGGCAATATTTGTGCAAGAGATTACCAAAAGGCAAAGTCACAGATCCAAAGCCAAAGCCAAGTTACAAAAAACAACAGAAATCAAAACATCGACAAATCCCCACAAAAACAAGACTAAATGCTGTGTGTACAAATGCAACAACAAAATGCTGGAGGGAGAAAGACTTTCACCTTTGCGACGTATGATCAACACGAAACCAAAAAAAAAAAAAAGAAGAAGATGAAAGAAGAGTCGCTGCAAGCAGAAAGAAGCGACGGCCTTCGAGTTGCCATGGACCCGAACCGAAGCACAACCGACCTGGCCCCGGCAACAACAAGTGCTGCCAGACGATGATCATGAAGATCATCGTCGAAGTAGTAGATGATGCTGTGGCTAAAACTTTGCGTCAATAAACCTTTGACTCAATGAGACTTACGCGCCGCGCTTATCACTCGAAGCGCTCAATGGGAATTATTGTTATTATAACTTTTTGTTTTATTTTGTTTGGATCAACGATCGCTGCCGCAACTTTTACTTTCCATTCAAGAATGAAGATTTTCAACACATATCTACTTGTCGTTTGGGAATTAAGTCATATACTCATTAATTTGAGTGGGTTTATACTTAGAATTCTCACTTTCTCGTCTTTTTCTCTGTTGATCAGACAGAGACCCCCACGCAACACTCGTCAACTGCTGCACATCAAAAGTGAAAAGCTTTTCTAAACTTTTAGGCCTGTCAAACATTTACAAAAAATATTTTGAACATTTGTTAGTACACTCGGTACAGTTGTGCCCAGCTTCAACTTCTTTTCGTCAATTTCCTTAATTGCCAAATTACATTCCAACAATAAAATCAACATTTTAATTAAATTATCTTTTACAGAAACATCACACGTGCGTCTATTACCCAAATCTCTATTTAAATGCCCAAACCATAAACACATTTATAATTCGGATATTGCATAATTTATGCAACTAGAAAAAAAGAGTTCGTAGCGAAAACTAAATTAATAAATTAATGCCCCGAGGGCTTCACAAATGGTGTCAAACATCAATAGAGGCACAACAACTGGAAGAGGTAGCTACATCTTGATTATATATAATAAAATACATTTGATTAACATGTATTTATAGTGGAAACTGGTGCACGAATTAACTGATGGGGTACTATATAAATTGCACGGAGTATATTTACGAAGAGCATGGATCATAAGCAAACTGTAATCGACTGGCAGATCAGCTAGGTAAGTTTTCTTATGAATTATATGGGTGGGAGAAACATATGTTATACATATTTAAATAATATATGTTGTATTACAAGTTAATTTGAGTATATAAACTAATTCCCTTCCATAGGTAGCTCAATTACTAAATGGAATAAATTTTCTAAAATATTTCTGAATTGACGCCATGCCTGAAAGTATGCAATGTTTTTTTTTAAATTTACAACTGATTGTCTTAACCCTTAGCTGGTTAGATGTGTCTTTTTTAATGCCAATTTGCAGCGACAGGAATACTTTATGATTTACATTATCCCAGAAATCTAAATCTGTATGGCTTAAAGTCCAATCTTTTTTCATACCAGAAAATGATTATTAATTGAAATAATTCAGCATTTATCACGGCCAATTTGACCTGAAAAGTAAATGGCATAAAAAGACGATTGGCAACATTTTGAGTACATAATTTTTAATTTATTTTTCAATTATTGTAATTGTATTGATTACATGTTCATTTATTTCTGGTTTCTAGGCCATTAAATATGATTCATTAATTTAAAATTGATATATTTTTTTTATAATTAAAGGTAGTTGTTTTTTTTTTTTTTATAATTTATTACTAAACTTTAAATTCGAAACTCACTTTGTAAATAAAGTTTTGCAGTTTTTTTTGTTTTTCTTAACTTTGTTTTAAATTGAATAAAAAGGCATAGTACGTCAAAGAAAAAAATTATATAGTTGTAATTAGGAGCGGCAGAAAAATGTAAATAACATAAATAATACATAAAATAGGCAAAAATTATTATACTAATTCTTGATATATATAAACGTACGACATTATCAAAGTCATGAGCAAAAATTGCATTTTGTTTACAGTGATATCTAAAAGTACGTTACAAACTTTGTTCACGTGACAGTCTAGAGAGAGGGGAAGTTAGATAGACATAGAGAGGGGACATTGGGGTACGCGCTCCGCTCTTTACTGCTAACATTTATTATTCAACTGTCAACTGTGTGATTATATTTAAATTGTATTCATTTTTGTTCATATTTTCTTGTTTTTTGTTTCTTCCATTAATACGATTTACATAGAATTTAAAGTTATAATTCTTACACATGCTTTGTGTGGTATTGGCCGTAAATTGTTGTTGTGTTCTCCTTTCTATTCAATAATTACGTAATATATAGTTTATTAAATATGTGTATAATCGTTATATTATGACATGTTATGAATGAATGTTTGGGCATATTCAATCAAACGGCTCTGTTCTGGATTTTAATATCCCTTACAAATGGGTGAAGTCGAGATATCGAAATCTTGAACAGCTCCGTTTATTTATACTCTCATGCAAAATACAAACTTACATTTAACTTGTTGTCAAACTTTACGCTCAATTTATAGAACCTAATCAAGTGTGTTCCGGGCTAGAATGTTTCAGTTTATCAGAGGCTATACCTATATATTTATATAGTTAACTAGGGTAGTTTCGATTTGATAATTTGGTGGGTCTATGAGGTTCCCTAGCAGTGAAGTTTTAGTAGTGAAAAAGTTCTATATTTGAGCTTTAAATAGATTGTGAAACATTCCAACCTTGTTTGGGAACTTATAAATCATAGTTACAATATATTTATATATTTGTAACTATTAACAGCCTTGATACTGTTGCTAAAGACATGGAAGCTGTATGAAATTGTTACAGATTTGTGTTTGCGTCGATATAATATATCGTTAAACTTCTTATATAACTAGGTTATGTTGTTCCGTTTGAGCTGGGAGGTTTATTATATTATATTATCATTATTATTATTGTTATTATTTATAATTTGTTCGTGTTGAATACAGGTTTTGCATGCATGCAGATGAAACAGTGTTAAAAAACGTATGAATTTATGCTTGCACAATGGAGGGCAAAAGTTGTGGTTTTCCGAATACTTTTGGGAAACAAATACATTTAGGGAATACATTCATATATAATGAGATATATATGTATATTTAGCTATGGCAGTAGCAAAAAAAAAAATAAATCAGAGAAATAAACTGAGAATACTGCAAGAGTGTTGCAAGTGTGTGTGTTTGTTATGTGTGTGTGTGTGTGTGTGTGAGAGTGCTTTTGGGGGTGTTGCGGGCTCACATACACAATCTAAAATTACATATCGGCTACATATCTATGCATACAACTATATATATATAAATATATATATATATTTCGTGTTTTTTTTTTTCTTTTTTGCAACCAGGGGGAGACACACTCAGTACACAATACATATAGAAACGCTTTAGACCTACACACATATATGTATAGCCTATATAACAGTTATAGCTAGATTTAGGTTGGAGCAGCCGGCAGCAGCAGCAGTAGCAGCTATTCCTCCCGCAGGGCAGCGCAGTGCTGTGGACGCCACTTCTAGCTCCAGAAGTCCATCATATTAACCAGCTTGCACTTCTTGAGCTCCAGCTTGGTGGGCCGCGCCCGAAGTCAGGCACGCCCAAAGATTGCCCGGTCCGAGACATCGCCGGTCGACTGTGAATGTGCCATGGCCACATTTGTGGCGGCAGCGCCTCCCGTCTGCCCGCCAACGCCAACGATATGGTTATGATGATGATGATGATGCGTGGCCGTGGCAATGGTGGCCGTGGAAGCGTTGTGATGCGTCACATTGTGGTGGTTGTGCGCCAGCGTGGTGCTGCCGTATTTGCTGCTGCTGCCGATGCTGTTGTTGGTGACATTGCCGCCTGTGTTGCCATTTAGATGCTTCCTGGTGGCTGCCGAGGAAACATGATGGGTGCTGCCGCTGCCAACGCCGCCATAGATGCGATGCAGCGAATACTGCTGCACCGACTCCAGATCGGAGACGCTAGACGTGATCTTCGAACGCACTGCGACCTTCTGCATGCTGTTGTATTTGTCGCTGGCGCTGAGCTTGATGTCGGGCAGGTGTCCGTTCGATTGGGCGTGAGCGTGGGCATGGGCATGAGGCTGGCGTGAACTGCTTGACTTGGTCGTAATAGCCGCATTGCTGACGGCTGTGGTGCTAGTGATAGATGCAACAACTGGCCCGTTGCCGGGCGAGATCTCTGCAAAATTGTAGCAGGAGGACTTCTGGGAGACGCTGTTCAGACCCGAGCTCGATGAGCTTGTGGACATGCGGCAGCTGCGATGGCGACTCGATGCGGATGGCTGCAGGAACTCATGATGGGCCGCCTCATCGGGCGTCATGCGCTCCGCAGGATCCCATTCCAGGCAGCGCTGCAGAAAGTCTATGAAATAGCGATCCTGGCAGTGAAGAATCTGTGACAGGGATTTGCTGCCAGGCGAACGCTTCCGGCCCTTCGTATTGGTTATGCAGCGCGGCGCATCACGCGAATCAAAGAACAGACGACGGCGACGCGCCACCGAAATGAGCACCTTAGGGGGCAGACCCAGCACCTCCATAATGCAGGCCAGTTGCTCTACCTCGTTCTCGCCGGGGAATAGCGGAAAGCCCGTGTACAGCTCGGCCAATATGCAGCCTGCAATGAAAACAAGAGAAATCGCAGCGAAATTAGTATTGATTTAATGCCCTGCAGTCATTGCAAATAGGGTATATTGCAACTGTACACAGATTTCGATGAGTATAGAAATTCCCGGCATTTCATTCGAACTTGTCGATTCTTTTCAAATAGATCAGGCAACTGGGTACAGGGGATCTCCTAGCCCAACAACCTGCAGCATTTTTATTTAGTAAAATTCAAGACCCCATCATTTGGCTGCAGTCATTTTGACAGTCAGCAGAAGCGCATTGACCTTGACTGTGGACCTTGCCCTGGACACGTGCTTGAGCTTGACCAAAGGACACTTTTCAGTGCAGTTCAGTTGAACCTCTGGGACATTATTTATTTGCTGCTGCAAATTGCTTAAGTGCTTTTGGTTTTGGGGTTGAAAAGTTCAGCGCAAAAGTGATTCATATTGACTTCCAACGGGTTGCGAAATACGATGCTAAACTTGATTTAAGATATGCCATCTATTCGGCACATGTGACATATAACAATATCTAAATTAAATTTATTGGCTAGGTCACTTTTCAAGTGGTTTCTATTAGTCTTTGAACCTATAACCCTTACTCCCCTACGTATTATTCAAGCATGAGTTGACTGATTTATAAAATATTTGGTTAATGCTTGTGTGTATGTTCAATTCGTATTCTCTATTTATTTTCAGAAGAGTTGTATCCTTTAGTAATTATTACTCCTACTTGAATACAACGAGGATCCTGGTTCGATTTAAAATAACGCTTTATATTAAAGAAGCAGGTAACGTGTTGGATTCACACATTAATGTTTGTTTGTAATCTATTTTCATTTCCTATTTGAAGCCTTTATTAATTGTATAAAATCATATCCCTATTTGCAAAAATCATCCTCGTGGAACGCTATTCTATAAAATGTACAGCATTACAACTGCAACTACAACCATGTATGTTACTTCTACATCCAATTTTATATATTAATATTAGTAATATCCTTACTTTCAGAAGAGTATTTTTCAATATTTTTTAAATCCTACAACTGCACAATAAAATTCCTAGAATCAATTCGCAAATTGTTTGTATTTATATTTAATTTAACTATTTACATCATTTATTTATATAAAATCCTTTCTATACAGCTCTGTTCCCTTAGGATAAAGTAGCTAATCAAGGAGATTCCAAATTTATTGGCATGCCACATTTTATCCCATTTTGTTCCGACTAAACTTTAAATCTATTTTGTTTTAGGAAATTCTTGCTTGAATCAATCTGTACAACTTTGTCATTCCTGAGTTACAACTAAATGAGACGATCGATTCATTTGATTTGTATGTAATACTTATTTAATTATATATCTCTTTTATTTATATACAATCTTTTCGCTTGCAGGGCCGTATTGTTGAGTATCACTGTCGATCATTGGAGGTGGTTCCGAGTTTCAGTATTATTTTTATAATTTTAAGATTATTGCTAAGAAGAATCCTCAGACACATGTATTGATTTTAAGTTAGCGATCTGAGTTAGTTATTTACTTCGGCTTTTTACACCCTGTCTTCTGTCATATCATTCATAGCTTAACAATTCATATGACCTCTTTCACAAGTTCTAATTAATTCTTACACACTCTTTGGTATACACATTACTTCCATATCAGTTGAGAACTGAGTGCACTACGATTGCCAGGCCTCATTATCCTTTACGGTATTTCGCAGCCAAATGGCAACATTCAATCGCTGCACACGAATTTCGTGGCGCCCTCTCCTGCGCCCCAGCCAAAACGGCAGCCCAACCAAGTGTAAAAACACGCACTATGCCAATTAGCAGCAACAGGCTACACATGCGGCAAGGGCCCTGAGACCAAGCCCCTCACGTATAGCTAGAACAATGGGATAGCCTGTAATACATACTCTGAGGGAAAGGGGAGCAGTAGGCGGGCCGATGGGCACTCAACAAGTGAGGCCCACTTGAAGTTTATGTATACAATAATATTGCCTGCCCCTTAACGCTTAGAAATGTTGCTTCCTGTAGCAGCCTTCACCCCGCCACACACATCCTTTTAGCGGCCATTTCCGACTACGACCACGTCCGGTCAAAAGGGAAAATATACTGTGAGCTCTGCGCTCCACACAAAAGACTCATTAAACGTGCACAGTACGTGAGATATTGGCGATGTGTGTGTGGGTGGTTTAATAAAAGATGGCTAGGGTTTATTTTTAGCTAGTGTCTTGACTTCTTTACGACTGCCAACTCGTGTGGGCGCTTACTTATTTGAGCTACTGTGCGCACAACCAAATGGGTTACGTGTCGAATAATGTAAAACTCTTCACAGCGAAAGGGGCGAGCCATTACTTTTTGTTTATTTTATATTTGAGTGAGAAATATGGGTAGAATGAAAGTAGATCAGGAGAAAGAGTCCTTATAGACCTTATCTAGTCGATTTTGAATTTACAATTAAAAAGTCAAATGTCCTTTAAACAGTCTGTATCCTTGAGTATTCTGCCAAATCCCTACTTAAAAACATGACAAACCTATGGTCATTTCTCTCAAAAGGACCCTAACCACTAAATCGTCCTTAGGACGATCTTAACATCTTAAAAAATAGTCCACATCTTCCCGATTCAGACTGTGGAAAGGACGAAAGTCCAAGAGACATTTGTCTCTAAAAGGTCAAAACTCGGCCATATCCTTGTGGAGCCGGAAAAATCCTGTACATTAGTCCTTCAGAGAGAAAAGTTTTAAGGATTAAGTTGCTAACACAAAATAGTCCATGATGCTTAGATAACCCCCTACAGATCGATGCAGCGGGTCTATACGAGCCTAACGCACCAAGTCCTTTGAAAATCTGCAAGGGCAATGCCGAGTTATGTCCTATTTTCTTTTCCTGAAATGCCTTTATATCGTTTTTGATTTTATGTGTTTTATATTTTCAGAGTGACATTGTAAGGACAGGGATCGATTCTAATTGCTTCCAAGGATATTTTTTCAGTATCGGACGCTATATATATACTCCAGATGTATTTATTTAAGATTAAAACAGACAGTCTTTATTATTTTTAATTTTAAGCAAATTAAACAATAAAAAGTAAATTTAAAAATGTATGCAAAAACAAATATATGATTAAAAAACTTTTTCCTATATTTTTTAATTCAAAGGGTAATTTAGTTGAAAAATTAAAAGAAAATCATTGATGGAAAAAAAGTCGCTGGCTGTAGATATTTTTATCAAATTTAGCTAAGTTACCAGGCGAACAGAAGGTCGACAAATTAAAAATAAAATAAAAATAATAAAATAAAAATTTCATTGTGTGCCCGAATGAAATGCCGTCGTCGGCAGCTGGGTGACGGAATTTGTACTAAAATACGACTGAAATACCAGGCGAACAGAAATGCTCAGAAGTTCGACAAATAGTTTTGAATAAAAAATCTCGTTGCATACCTAAAAGGGGCAGAAATGTTACTCACTATATCGTTGGTATGGATTAACCAAAGAAATAATAATTAATCAGGAACCATCAAGGGGCGAGGCTTTTGCTGAGTGGCTAAAAGAAAGGGCATACATATTTTTCGGCAAATTTACGCATTTTGCATAAGTTTGGGCTGTTGGGTTCGCCACGACTATACAAATGATATGAAATAACCAATGATATCTGGGTCATTTAGGAATCAATGATCTTGGCGACTTCCGGTTAGAGCTTAGAGCACAGCAGCGCACACATCTATCACAAAGTAAATGCACTCAGAGCAAAGAGATATATGTGGAAGTGTGTGTGTGTGAGTTTGCTTGTTACTGTGCATTGCACTAACGAGTTCTGATTGGTTGCTCATCGCTGATTGGTAGAAATAGGAACTGCTTGTGTACGAATTCATCTCGCGATCTTTTGCTTGCTCATTATATTATGCTCAAGCCTGTTAACATATATTGTAATATGAGATTTCCGAGCAGCTACCAGCAAAAGCTTTTTTTACTATTTGATCACATTTTTATGTTAATTGATACTTAAATTGGATTTAAAGATCGAAATTTATTTAACTGATAACATTGATAACAACAACAACTGATAAACATTGAACAAGCGTAGTATTCACGGCAAACAGCTTGCGCCTATGGCGAACCTTTAGTCTGCTTGAGTGTGCAAGTCTAATTGACTACTGGAGACGAACTTGCACAAAATTAAGTTGCAAGGCCGCAAGACGAACATAAAAAATCGGCGCACAGGAAATATAGCAGGACTTGTGTCAGAAGCAAGCATATACATACATATATATATATTTCGCGCTTGGACCACTGAGCAATAAGCAACAGCAAAAGCAACAGCAAAACTGACTACAGTTGCCAATATGCCATGCTGCAAAGAAAAACTTTACATATTCAAGCTGGCAAAAGATTCTGCACAGCCGGTTAAATTTGGAAATCGTATAAATATTGGAAATTTAAAATACAAAATACTAGATGATATAGAAAAATGAGCAGAATTTGTTGTTTTAACTTCAAATCTTTTTGGATTAGAATTTCAAATAATTGGGTTTCTTTTTCAAGTATATTTAAAAAATATTTTATGTATTGAGCTGTATTAAGTTTAATTGAAAACACTTGAAAGCATTTTTAATTGGCTATTGGCTAATTTGATGGATTTTCCAGACAGTTTGTTCATAATTAAAATACTGATAATAACAGTAATAATAATAATTATACAAGTTTATTCGTTTAAGAATTTGGCGTATCGTACTTAGAGTTTCGTAGTTAAGTTAGAATAAAAGGAAACCGTAAATATGTTGCCAAAAACGCTATTGAATTTTTAGGTTTTGTTCACTGGTTAAAAAAACGATCAACTTTGGTTTGTATATATAAGATTAAGATATTAAGAGCTCCGTTTGGTTATTTTGCTTAAACATTTGCGCTAGGTAAACATGAGCAGTAAATGCTTGATTTGTGTGAGTGACCGATTTTTCTAAAACCATTCAGACAAAAATAATGGATTTGTGGCTTTCCATATGTTTGCTTACGAAAGTGTGTTTATAGTCGTTGGGTTTGACGGATTTAAAAAACGGAGAGTTGCATTGAAATTGAACAGAACTACAAGGCCTGTCGAAGCAATGTTATTGTTTTTGATTTGTATACATCGACTTTTTGGAGCGACAACAGTCAATGATGTTCAAAAAATGGTAAAGCCAGCCATTCACAAGCCGCATAAAACCCATTCAAGGCTCGCTTTGCACACGGCAAATGTTAGCCGCATGACCCACAAAAAAGGGGACTAACTCCCCCGCTTTTAAATGCACTCGCAGCACAAATGGCGGCCACATGCTGTGTGGCTATAAAACGGTGTATCAAATATTTAAACGTTGTATGTAAACACACCTACACACAAGCGCATTTATAGGTATTTATAGGTTTGTGTGGCTATAAATTTGCCTGCCAAATGCAGAACGAAAACCATTTAAAAATTCATTTTCACTGCAACGAGGCCAAATGCACGTAGAGAAGACACATTGCAAATGTGTTTTAATTAAAATCAAATCCCCACCGACGCCACATAGATATATACTCACCCAAGCTCCACATGTCAATGGCGGTGCCATATTGCAGACCCAGTATCACCTCCGGGGAGCGATAGAATCTCGATTGTATATAGGTATAGATTTTGCGATCCACATAACACGAGCTGCCAAAATCGATGACTTTTATTGAGCTGCTGCCGCGTTGTTTCAGCAAAATGTTTTCCTAAAAATGGAATATTACATTTAATATGTTTCTTAAGATTATTTAAACGAATTATGTTCAACTTACCGGCTTGAGATCACAGTGTATGATATTCTCCTTGTAGAGCAAACGCAGGCATTTCACAATCGAATTGCAGAAGCGTCGTATGAGACTCATGCTGAAACCATTATAATTATTCTTCTTGATCAGCTCATACAGATTGAGACTGCAAATAGAGAGAGAGAGAGAAAAACTTCGATTCAAACAACAGTTTATATAAAATATGAGTCAGCGCAAACCCCAATCAATTCTTTTCGGTCTCGCGTAAAAAAGACGCCTCACAAATGCCGGCCGCTTAAAGCCCACAATAACGATAAAAAATAACATGCATTGAATTAATTTGCATTGCATGTCGCACACAAATTTGGATATATGACGATAACGGGCAACAACAAGAACAACGACAACAATTTGGACGGTGGGGCAAATAAAGTCAAAATAGGGGCAAATGTAAAGTATTGCCTAACAAAACAACAAATTTAAACATAATGCCAAGACAGGTCAAGTCAAATATATTGCCGTTCTAAATATGATACACTTATTCTTACAGCGAATACCTTGAATTAGAATTATTTCTCAACTTTTTCCCATAGAAAAGTAATATATAATCTAAAGTCACAGTTGGAGTTATTTAAATGTAAAGTTATTTAAATTTAAATCTATACCGAAATGCTTTAAAAGCAATTATTTCCCATAGAAAATTAAAATATTCAAAACACACAGTTGTAAGTCACTGCAATATTTAAATGTAAATTTACTAATATTAATTAATTGGGTTTTCCGAAAAATAAATCTACGCTTATTAATTAATACGGTCCTGCTTTGGTATTAAATTTCAATTTCATTCGACTCACTATTTAAACATTTTTTGACAATATTATTTAGTGTGTTGAATAAATTCACATTGCTCGCGAATGGGCAATTTCTGATTTCAGTTTTTGCTTGCAAATTCCACATATTTTCCCACTGTAAATGCCATTTGCCTTGCGACTGTCTCTGTGTCAACCCGTTTGCTATTTTCGTTTGCATTTTGAACATGTATATATTTATTTATTTTTTTTGTACTTTTTCGATTTTCAGCTTTTGCGATTAATTAACTGATAAGAGGGAAGTTTTTAGTTCTGCTTTTATTTTTGGCCAATGTCATTGCAACCACTGGTTATATATTTATTTATTTATTTTATTTGGGTTGGGGTTCTGTTTGGGTCAACACAATTTCCCGCCAAGTGCTGCTCAAGTTTTGTCAATTTTTTGATGACTGTCAGCTATCGGGACTTTTCATTGTGATTGATGAGTTTTTGGCAGTCCACACGTTATCAGCAAATACCCCTACCCCCTCTCTGCTGATGAACCGCCCTCACCCACCTTTTGACACACATTTTCTGTGCTCACATATTATTTGATATGCTAGCAGCTGGGTCCATTTATTGAACTTGCTGACCGCACGCACACACAATTTTTGCCGTCCTTTCCGTTTCCGCTTCCGTTTCCGTTTGCCCCTTTGCCAGAGCCATATAAGCTCTTAGCATGTATTTGCCTCAACGATGTCATCTTCTCAGAATGCCATCAATAACTCCATCAGCAGCTCGACAGTTGAGCTGCTTTGACATGCACTTATTAGATGCTCTGACCTAGAAAGATGTCAGCCAGAGAATGTCAAAACTAATAACAGCCAATGCCAGGACATTCGTGTGCATTGCAGCTCGTTGGGATATTCTAAAGAAATTTCAGCCAAAGTTAAATTAAGTACAGGAACTCACTATTCAGGCAAGAATACTATGAAAAATATATCAAATACATGCTGCGAGTAAAAAGTATTTATTCCTGCATCCATTATCAAAGTTTCATATGTCAAGTTGAATACACAGAGAGAAAAGTAAACACACGTTAAAGGTATTTATAAGAGAGAAATATGTTCATGCTAACACACGTGAAGCAAAGAATTGTGATAGTTAGTTAAGTTAAGCCCGTAAGGCTGCCACAAATATATGAATTTAAGTAACTTGTTATCTTAATTAAATACCTTATTTGCTTTTTAAGCTACAATTCAGTTTCAGCACTTAGTTTCCCAAAAAATATAAAAGGATTTATGAGGTTCTTTGTTGTAAAAATAAATGCGATCGCAAATTTCAGTCCAAGACTCATTAAAAATTTAGATACCAATTTAAAGGCATCGACAACTTTAAACTCACTTGCAAATAACAATCGGAGGAATATTAATAAATTTATCAGAATTATAGAATTTTAGAAATTACTATAATAAAATTCCCTCCAAAA